CGGGGACAAGTATGGGGGTGCGTGCTCAGATGCTCCAGGCTCCAGATGGGAGGTGACCTGCAAAGAATCCCAGGGACGCGGAGACCTTAAGGTGAACACGTCCTAGAGTGCACCGATTTCAGGGCTCAAGAACCTTTCGGGAAAACACGGAGACCCGGACGTTAGGACAGATCTAAACCACACAGAGCCCGCCACAGGCTTAGCCTCTGACTCAGAATCTCCCCCCAGAATGCACAACCAAAAAAATGCCACTCAAAGATGCTGCTGGAGGCAGCAGGGATTCTGAGGGCTGCGCTCTCCCGCTGTGTTTTTTCTCTAGGGAATAGACATTCCCCAGCTGTAGACGTCTTCAGTCAGGGACCTACAGGAAAAGAGCATCACCTGTGTGGATCTCTGTCTCTGCCACATTATGGCCCTGAATTTTGAGGCTCAGTTTCCCCATCCATGATCTATATTTCTTTCCAGTTCTGAAACCAAAGAAACCACTCCTGAGTCCAAATCCTGCTGCAGCCTGAAAGGCAGGTCGGCCTTGGTCTCCACTGCCCACTGCCTGCTGTGGCTGTGGCAGGAGGGGGGGCAGGTTCCCAGAGCTCACGCCTTGGGTGGCATGGCCCTGGGTTGCAGGGAAGCTACGTCCCCATGCTCTGGCCTCCTAATGCTCCTGGGAGGAAGGGAGAGAATGAATGGTCTTGGCTGCAGGGCCCAGGAGGGGCGGGAGTCCTGGCCAGGCTCTCTTGGGTTGTGTGCAGCCAGTTTGGCCAAGCAAGAGCTCTTTGAAGCCTTTTGTGGCTGCTGGCTGCTCCTTCCTCCATTCCCTCTTTCAGTCCTTTCACTCTCAGCCCAGACAGGAAACCTTGCTCGATCCTGCTTCCCCTTCACAGGGAGGTTTGGGCAACAGTAGGACTCTTCAGGGAATGTTTTGAGAGGAGAGGCGTGCACTCCGGTGCATGGGGTCTATTCACTTTACATTGTGCCTTTCACCAAGACGCTGTGCTCTCTGGGTCTAGGTGCTTTGATGGGTACAATGGGGTGACTGGATTCAGACACTTTAAATCTTTGAGAGTAAAAGGGGATCATTTGGTTCCTAGAATGGGGGAAGGGAATGTGTTGAGCAGAGGCCCCAATGGGCCGAGGATAGCAGGTCAACTGTGATGACTTTTTAGTTGCCACACTGTTAGTGAGCATCCACAGAGATTTGGGACTGTTCTTGTCTGTGGGAGGCGGCCAGGCTAGAAAGCTGTGATTTTAGCTCTGCCTGGAGAGGGGGTGATGTTCCCTGGAATAATTATAGTTGCTTGGTTGACCTTCCTGATAGAGGACAGTATAACTAGGATCCCACTTTATTCCTGGCGCATGCATGTGGTGGGGGAGAGTGAGAGAGAAAGGAGAGAGAGGAGAGAGAATAAATTACAGTGAGCCAGGTTCCCAGCTCGGGTGTATGTGTAAATGCCCTGGGAATGAAGACTGGGAGACTGGGAAGACAGTGAAGGCTCTTCTAAAAGCTCTCTCCCTGTGCCTTCCTTCCAACTGGATTAGGTACTGGGAGCCCAGGCCCCTGGCTTCCTGTTTTCTTCCTTTCTACCACTGTTTTGACCACCACCAATGAGCACCCTGTCCCCACTCACCATGCCACCCTCATTTTGCAAGAAAACCTGGAGATACACAACACTCACAGGACAGAAAGTCAGTGGACCCTGGGGGCAGCCTGAGCACCGTTGTCCCAACCAGCTGATGGCTCCCAGAACAAGCTGCCCTCTGTGGCTCATGGCCCCTCTCCGTGCACTCTTCTTCCTTCTCTTCCACCTTGCTTGCTTCTGGGCCTCCTCTCTGAATCACTTTTCCTACTCTTTCTCTAAGTCCACCCATGCTTTTAAAACTCATTTTAATAAAAGCAGTGACAAGTTTAATCACTTATTTTGTTCAACTTGTATGAAATTCTTATTTTCGAAAGTATAAAGTATCAAGTATAAAGTAAAATAAAATGCCCTTATTGTTGATGTCTGGATGGACAGCTTTTCAGATACCAATCAACTGAGCTCTTGACATACACACACACACACACACACACACACACACACACACACAGGGGGTGAGTGGAGAGTTTTGCCTACTTCAGTTTCATGCAATGTGTAATGAGCCATGAATGTAAGGGCATTTTACTCAACACTGGACTACAATCATAGCACAATCAGATTATAGTACATAATGATGTCATAGCCACATCACTTTGCCTTAGTTGCCCCATGTCACCTAGGGGCACATGGATTGGAGCATGCCCCTTGCTGACTGATGTGTAGATACTATCAGGTGAACACTCGGGCCTGTCTGATTCCATTGTGCATGGGTGCCTCCTGACGCCCTCGGTGAGCTAGGCTTTGTGTTGAGTGTGGCTTTTAAACCCCACTAGCCACCTCAGCTTCTGTTGCTTTTCCAGAACCCTTCTCAGTGGCAGGGAAGTGCAGTGTCTGTGTGTGTGTGTGGTGTGTGTGTGTGTGTGCGTGTGTGTGGTGTGGTGTGTGTCTGTGTGTGGGTGTGTGTGGGGGTGTGCGTGTGTGTGGTTTGGTGTGTGTGGGTGTGTGTGTATGCATGTGTGTGCTTGTGCATTTGGAGGTCAGAGATCAACATCAGATGCTGTTTCCTCAGTTGCTGTCCATTTTGTTTCTTGAGACAGGATCCTTAGTGGCCTGGATCTGGCCATACAGGCTGGGCTGGCCTGTCTCCACATTCTGAGTGCTGGTACATGTGTGTGACACACCTGATGTTCTCATTTGTTCTAGGAATCAACTTCAGGTCTCCATGCTTACATGGTCAGCACTTTCCTGTCTGAGCTCTCTCTCCTGAAACCCGCCCCTAGACTTTTCCAACATCCCTTTCCTACTCTGCACTCTCCGAGGACACAGCGCAAGTCTGGATTAGGGAGGGTTGAGTGTATTGATTGATTATTCAGGGCTGAGACATCTCCTGGACTTCCTGCTAGTGGGTGGTGATGAGGCAGTTAACTTTGTGTTCCATCCCCTTGGAGAGTCAGTGAAAACAGTCACAGGACATCTACAATCAGAGTTCAGAGAATAAAGGCTACTAAGGCTTTCAAACATTCCGTAATTTACAGATAAGGTTGGGAAATGAACCTAAAGAGGAACCAAGATTGGGAAGAAGGGAGGAGACTTGTGAGTGCCATTGTTAAGAATTGCTATACCATGACGACATAGACTGGCTTTCAGCATTATTACTTAAAGTTTCTCTACAACATACCTTTTTATAACCCATGCCCAGAAGGAACGTCCTCTACCACCCATCCCTGGAGCTCACCCATGGCTTTCAACAAGTATCAATCCTATAGGAGAGGAAGGGAAGGCTCCCCTTTGCTCTCTGACCATAGACTGATAAATGAGGAGAGAAGATCTACAGATTCATGACTCACAGGAATTGAGTCCCTCCCCACAAGCCTGTGGTGCCCCAAAGCTCACATACCCTGTTCCAAAGGACTGTAGGAGGTTTTGGAGACTACTAAATGATTTCTAGGTTAATCCAGTTAGTTTAAAGAAATAAATAGTTGCCAGGGACGAAGTCCATTGGGTCCCATAGAATAGACAATGAAATAGTGCCTCAATTGGAGGGCATTGGAATGTGACAAGTGTTTGCAAGGTATGTTGACAGACTTTGTTTGCATTTTTGGGTTTTATGTGATTAGTAGCTTTTTGTTGTTATTGTTTAGAGTCTTGCTTTGTAGTCCAAGCTGTCCTGTAGCTCACTACATAGGCCAAGCTGATCTCGGCTCTACAAAGGTCCTCCTAGATGCTGGGATTACAGACATGCACCACCATGCCCTACTCAAATTTCAGCTGCCTTACTGCCTTGGGAGTTTAGTTAATGAAGACCCAGAGAAGGGATCAGGAACTATTGTTTCTTATTTGTAGGACTCGACTTAAGCAGACACACAGCTTCAGAGCTCTTCCAGAATCCATTATCTTCTACCTTCCTTCCATTCAAAATAATCAGCATTTCAGGGTACTAAGTTATGGGATAACAGTCGCTGAAGTCCTTCAATCATCTCTCCTGCCCAGAGCAGGAAATGTATAGATTATGGAGCTAGCTTTCTGTCATCACGACTAGAAAGAATGCTACTGCTGTCTTTTGCGTGGAGGACAAGGATGATGCTAAACATCCCATTGTTTAGAGAACAGTCCCCACAACAAGGACCTGTCCCTACCTCAGATATCAGTGCATGGGATTGGGAAGCACAACTTCAGTCCACAGGGAGGTATCCTGGGCTGTTTATGGGGTGCAATCTCTCTTTGAAAACATTTGTTTATTGTGGTGCTAGGACTACACAGCAGGAAAGAGGGAGGCAGGGAAAGGTTGGACTTGGAGACAACCTGACTCTGTCCTGAGCCTTGGAGAGCCACACTGCCCAGGAGCAGGACATAGGCTTCTCCACCACACATGCAACTGGGATGCAGAAGTGAAGCTGTCCAGTCCTCAGAACTGTCTCTTCAGATTGTCAGGTGTGCCTATGTCGTCATCCTCATGGCCATCTACTGGTGCACAGATGTCATCCCAGTGGCGGTCACCTCCCTCTTGCCTGTCTTGCTCTTCCCACTTTTCAAGATACTGGACTCCAAGGAGGTGAGTAAGCTGAACAAGGGCTGGTGGCTTCTGGTCCTCCCATGTATTCTCCTCTTTTCTGAGCCCCTCTGAGCTTCCAAGGCCTAGGGATAGCGTCAGAAGTCCAGTAGCAGATCCCTCGAGGACAAGTATAGAGACAGATCACTCCAAGCTGCCTTTGAAATTGGTATCTGGCTTGTTTTCTGTCTAGAGGACTTTGGTAACAACCTTGGACCTAAGTAGTACATGATTGGGGATTGCCCTGATGGGGCATCCCCGCCACCCTGCAGGTGTGTATCCAGTACATGAAGGACACCAACATGCTGTTCCTGGGCAGCCTCATTGTGGCCGTGGCTGTGGAGCGCTGGCAACTGCACAAGAGAATTGCCCTAAGAATGCTGCTCTACGTGGGGACCAAGCCCTCCATGTGAGTACACCTTCTTTCTCTAGCCACATGGCTCTACAGGGGCCCCTGGAGAGTGGAGTGTGACACGGCAGGACATCCAAGAGGAGGGCAGAGGGCTGGCCTCTGGGTGGATCTTTGGGATTCAGGAGAGGAGAGGCTCTGTAAGACAGTGGGAATCTTCTAGATGTACGTGGAAAGTTAATCTACCTTCATGTGGAGCTGCTGTGCCATACTCTGGGTCTTGCTAAGGCAAATTTCCCTGCTAGATGGGAGTCTCTTAGAACCGCAGCTGAGTTTGAGGTCTCATTCTGGCCCGACAGCCAGCAGCAGTGTTTATGAGATGAGGGGTGACAGGGAATCATGTCTGTGACCAAATTCTTAAAAGTAACAACTTCAATGAAGGAAGATTATTTCAGCTTTTAGCTTTGGATGGTGACCAGTCTGCAGTTGATGGGTTTTACATATCTGAGCAGAATATCATGATGGCAGAAGTATGTGGTAGCAGAAATTCACCTACATCAGACAGGAAGCAAGAGAGGGAGCCAGGAGCCAGAGGTGATGGCAAGATACACCACCAAAGACAAGCCCCAATGACATGCTTCTTCCAACTAGGCCCCACCTCTTTTTTATTATTTGAGAACCTCGTATGCGCATATAGGGTGTTTTTTTTTTATCAAATCCACCTCATCCTCCCCACCCCCAATTCTTCTGCTACCCACCATATGCCCTGTAGTGTTGTGCTGACACAAACGATATGAGAGTAACCAACCACTTTCTGACTAGACTTAAGGACTTCTCCAAAAGATGGAATTCATGTCTGTGCCACTAACTGGGCTCCAACCACGTGGCTGGGTAGGTCATAGGCTCCACTTCTTGTATTTTACCATCTCTCAATACTGCTGTCACATTATAAATCCATTGAGGGTTTAATCTACTCATTATGCCGGAGCCCTCATGATCTCATTGTCTGTCCTTCACAGTTACACTTGGAAGTATACTTTTGTTTGTTTTTGTTTTGTTTTTTTCAACTTTTAAAATTTGAATTAGAAATAGGATTGATTTACATGATAATCCCAGTTCCCTTCTCCCACCCGTCCTCCCCTACCCCTCCCTCCCTCCCCCGCCAACTAAAACCCTATCCATCACATATCCTTTCTGCTCCCCCTGGATGATGAGGCCTTCCATAGGGT